ACACATGTTGTTGGAGCACATCGGTGATATCTCCAGATCTGAGGACGACTAGTTGCCGAAAAGTAGAACACGGGCAACTGACTGAATCCAGAGATCGACTGTTTATCTCCAGTTGTAAGAGCGCCTTGAAACTAGTCGTCTCCAGATACTCTGTCCATGTACGCTAGGCTTAGGAGAGACTGGGAGAGACTGGGAGAGATTGGGAGAGATTGTGAAAGACTGGGAGAGATTGGGAGGGACTGGGAGAGACTGGGAGAGATTGGGAGGGACTGGGAGAGATTGGGAGGGACTGGGAGAGATTGGGAGGGACTGGGAGAGACTGGGAGAGATTGGGAGGGACTGGGAGAGATTGGGAGGGACTGGTAGAGACTGGGAGAGACTGTGAGAGACTGGGAGGGATTGAGAGAGACTGAGAGTTTAGGAGAGACTGGGAAAGACTAGAAAAGACTGGAAGGGATTGAGAGAGACTGTGGGAGACAGGGAGAGATTGGTAGAGACTGGGAGCGACTGGGAGAGACTGGAAGAGACTAGGTGAGATTGGGAGAGACTGGGAGATAATAGGGGAGACTGGGAGAGATTGAGAGAGACTGGGAGAGACTAGGAGAGACTGGGAGAGACTGGGAGAGACTAGGGGAGACTGGGAGAGACTAGGGGAGACTGGGAGAGACTGGGAGAGACTAGGGGAGACTGGGACTGCTGTTTGAAGCTGGGTGGTCTCTGCTGGACTTTCTACTGTGAACATAGAAACCAGACGATGCAGAGGATTTGAGTTTCAGTATGACGATAGACAGAGAGAGCCCTAAGACTTCTGTTGAGATTATAAAAACTAAGAGAGATGTGGCGTTGATGATGATGGGAATACACAGGGTTTGAATACAGAATGACTAATGAGACACAGGTGTTACACACAAGGGCAGTGCAGGTAAACACACAACAGGAAGTAGAACTGAGGAAGAGGACACGGACATCTCCATCGATATGCTTTGGAACTCGGTCACACACACACTCAGACACACACTCAGACACACAGCTCAGACACACACTCAGACACAAACTCAGACACACACTCAGACACACACTCAGACACACAGCTCAGACACACACTCAGACACACACTCAGACACACACTCAGACACACAGCTCAGACACACACTCAGACACACACTCAGACACACAGCTCAGAAGCACACTCAGACACACACTCAGACACACAGCTCAGACACACACTCAGACACACACTCAGACACACAGCTCAGACACACACTCAGACACACAGCTCAGACACACACTCAGACATGTCTGTGAGTGTGCGTCAGTGTGCAACAAACACAGGATTCGTTATATATCTTTAAATACATTTTCAGCTTTATTTACACTTATGGCTTTTAAAGAGCTGTACACTGCAAAAAAAGATACAATATGAGGTGATAATTGTTTGAATCGAGTTGTTTTATCTTAAATAGAGTTCATTCTGGCTGTTTCACTGTTTGTTTGTTATCTACATACAATACAATACAATACAATTTATTCTTGTATAGCCCTAGGTCACAACAGAAGTCATCTCAGAGGACTTAACAAAACCATTGAAATCACCAACACAGGTCAGAGAATCAACAGTTAAAACACATGAAGAATACAGTATAAAGCACACACAGAAGAAAATGTCCATACATGTTGTAGAATGCTAAAGTGTCCTGATCATCACCAATCCTTTCTGTTGGACACTAACTGTCCAACAAGACCCTCCTGCATCCTGTGTTCGAGACCCTCATGCTGCATCTGCATCGTCTCTTTAATTTAGTTTTTGGACTCCACAGCCACTTTTTCATTTATGACTTTTTGAAAATGATCAATAAAAACAGCTCTTGAGACCAAAGAGTCAGTCTTGCATACTTCTTTATGATGTCAAAAATCATTAAAACAGCGAAAACGTATATATATATATATATAAAATATATTCTCTGATATGGCACAGAAAGGCCGTTGAAAGCAATACTCCTGCCATCGTTCATCATCCTGGTTCTGTTCCTCCAAACCCGGTGAGAAATCTGTCCTAAAGTCCGACTCACGGAGACGGATAAAACCTCTGTCATTATTCTTCAGCACAGAGACCGGACGGAAGTCTCTGGAAGCACTGGGGAAAGATTGGGGCAGTGATCCAACTCTCTCAACAATAATAAAGAGAATGAGAAGAGGGAGCAGCGTCTACAGTCAGAGCTGCATCGGACTGTTGTGGTGAAGAGGGAGCAGCGTCTGCAGTCAGAGCTGCATCGGACTGTTGTGGTGAAGAGGGAACAGCGTCTACAGTCAGAGCTGCATCGGACTATTCTGGGGAAGAGGGAGCAGTGTCTACAGTCAGAGCTGCATCGGACTGTTGTGGTGAAGAGGGAGCAGCGTCTACAGTCAGAGCTGCATCGGACTATTCTGGGGAAGAGGGAGCAGTGTCTACAGTCAGAGCTGCATCGGACTGTTGTGGTGAAGAGGGAGCTGCTTCATCTCTCATGAGCTTTGGGTAATGACCGAAAGGACGAGATCCCAGATACAAGCAGAGTGGCTCTCACATAGACCCCAGTCACACAAGAGGAGCTCGGAGTAGAGCCTCTGCATCTATACATCATTTGAGGAGGCTCGGGCATCAGTTTTGGCTGTCTCTGAGATGTCTACCCGGGTAGGAGGTCCTGACAGACATTAACCAGAAGCAGGATATCGGAGTAAGACCCAGGGCAAGTTGGAGGGACTATGTTTCTCTCTGGCCGGGGAACGCCTCTGGATTCCCCCAGATGAGCAGGAGGAAGTGTGAGTGGAGAGGGAAGTCTGCAAACGCTGTAATGCAAAACTGACAAACACAATACAAGAGATTTGTTTGGAGCAGCTTGCGTACACAAACCAGGAAGTGACATCACATTAGTCCAGTCCTCAGGTCTCTGCGTTGGCTTCTGTGGTTCAGAGAATAGACTTTAAATACTTTTCATTATATATGATTAAAAGTCCTGTCCTGTCCTGTGGAAGACCTCCTGTGTGATCCCGGTTCCAAAAACAGCACACGCCAAGGAACCGGCTCACTACAGACCAGTCGCACTGACCTCCCACCTGATGAAGACCATGGAGCACTGACCTCCCACCTGATGAAGACAATGGAGCGGCTCATCCTCACCCATCTCCGCTCCGTGGTCAGCCCCACCCTGGACCCGCTGCAGTTCGCCTACAGACCCAACATCGGAGTAGAGGACGCCGTCATCTACTTCCTGCAGCGGACGCTCTCCCACCTGGAGCCCGCCGGGAGCGCTGTGAGGGTCATGTTTTTCGACTTCTCCAGTGCTTTCAATACCATCAGACCGGCACTGCTGCGGGGGAAGATGGAGGACGCAGGAGTGGACAGTAGCCTCACTGCATGGACCATCAACTACCTCACTGCATGGACCATCAACTACCTCACTGCATGGACCATCAACTACCTCACTGCATGGACCATCAACTACCTCACTGCATGGACCATCAACTACCTCACTGCATGGACCATCAACTACCTCACTGCATGGACCATCAACTACCTCACTGCATGGACCATCAACTACCTCACTGCATGGACCATCAACTACCTCTCAGACCGACCACAGCACGTGCGGCTGCGCAGCTGTGAGTCTGAGGTGGTCGTCTGCAGCACTGGGGCCCCTCAGGGCACTGTCCTCTCACCGTTTCTCTTCACCATCTACACCTCAGACTTCACACACGACACACACAGCTGTCACCTGCAGAAGTTCTCCGACGACTCCGCCATCGTGGGCTGTGTGTCTGAGGGGAACGAACTGGAATATCGGTCGGTTATCAAGGACTTTGTCGACTGGTGTGAGCGCAACCACTTGTGCTTGAACACCAGTAAGACCAAGGAGATGGTCATCGACTTCAGGAGAAAACCACTTTCCCACACGCTGCTGAACATCCAGGGGGAGGACATTGAGCTGGTGGACAGCTTCAAGTACCTGTGCTCACATTAACAATAAACTGGACTGGTCCATAATACAAACGCCCTGCACAAGAAGGGCCAAAGTCGCCTCTTCCTTCGGAGGAGGCTGAGGTCCTTCTGAGGAGGCTGAGGTCCTTCTGAGGAGGCTGAGGTCCTTCGGAGTGAGCAGGCCTCTGCTCAGGACTTTTTATGACTCTGTGGTAGCTTCTGCCATTTACTACGCTGCCGTGTGCTGGGCCCCGGGCAGCACAGAGCGGGACAGAAACAGACTGAACAAGCTGGTCAGGAGGGCCAGCTCCACTCTGGGCTGCTCCCTGGACTCTGTGGAGGAGGTGAGGGCCAGGAGGCCCCTGGACTCTGTGGAGGAGGTGAGGGACAGGAGGCCCCTGGACTCTGTGGAGGAGGTGAGGGACAGGAGGCCCCTGGACTCTGTGGAGGAGGTGAGGGACAGGAGGTGCTAGCCAAAGCCACCTCCAACATGGACAACACCTCCCACTGCACAGGACTGTAGAGGAGCTGAGGAGCTCCTTCAGTGGAAGACTGAGGCACCCTCAGTGTAGGAAGGAGCGCTACCGCAGGGCCTTTATCCCCACCGCTGTCAGACTGTACAATAAGTCACTTTAAATGATCACTGTGTGAAAACCTGCACTACTATTGACACTGTTTCCAATTGACACTTGTCACTTTTGTTGTACATAATTATTGTCACTTTATTGTACATATATCCTGCATGTAACATGTTTGCACATTTCCTCCTTTTGCACAATCTGAGTGTTCTATCCATGCCAAATGTGACATGTACATTTCTCCTCTGTGAGATAAATAAAGCAATCTTATCTTATCTTATCTTATATCTTGTTTTGTTCAGCACTTTGAATTGCCTTGTGTCTGAACGGTGCTACACTATAAAACTGTCCTTACACAGAGCATTATCTGCTGCAGTGGTCATGCCGTGTCTCGCCTGCAGCCTTCCCCAGCTCCTGACATCATAATCAACTGGTGACAGTGATCTCTCTGTCGCTGTCCTTCCAGAGCGATGATGCAAACCACTGCCGACAGCACCTGCCCGGCAGAGATGGGGCGTCAAGCGGAAGTGGAGCTGACAGCCCCCGCTCCGCTCAAGGTGAGGCTCGGAATCTGCGTCCCCACATCCTCCCCGCCGTCAGATTGGTATGCACGGCCGTTAGCGATCGCGCACAGCTAATGAAGCCTCTCACCTGCCTCGCTATAGCCCGGTCCGACCTCACGCACCTCTCCGCAGGATGGGACATATGTGGTTCTGTATTGCACATTCTCACATTATTCAGATTTTTAACGCACATACTGTATGTTCTCCTTGTGTCTGGTTTCCTCCAGGCGCTCCGGTCTCCCCTATCACTGAAATCATGTCCAAAAGGTCTGGCATGTGCCTCCTGTATGACGACCCGCTCCCTTCACTGTGTGGAGTAAGAAACATTGACTTACTTACTATATTTCTGAACAAGCTTGAATATTGTCCCAGACTAAACGTGAGGCTCGGAATCTGTGTCTCTGTGGCGTCGGCTTCGTATGCACGGCCGTTAGCGATCGCGCGAAGCTAATGTAGCCTCTCACCTGCCTCGCTATATCCCAGTCCGAGCACCCGCACCCCTCCTCAACCCTCGCCAAGTTGAGACTGTTAGCAGCATGGGACAAATGTGGTTCTGTATTGCACATTCTGACATTATTCAGACTGTTATTGCACAGATGTAGGTTTCCTCTGGGCGCTCCGGTTTCCCCTACCACCTAAAACATGTCCAAAAGGTCTTGCATGTGTACTTACCATATTTCTGAAGTTTGAATCTTGTCCCAGACTCTTCCCGGCTCAAGGTGAGACTCAGAATCTGCGTCTCCGTGCCGTCGGATTGGTATGTACTGCCGTTAGCGATTGCGCACACATAGCTAATGAAGCTTCTCACCTGTCTCCATATATTCTCCTGTCCGACCACCCGCACTGCGCTCCGACTCTCGCCAATTCCAGTCCTAATCTCCCAGCGCATTATGCAAGCTCATCCGCGGGGCTCAACTTTAACCAGATAATCACGCCGATGATCAGATTGACATTTCAGACACTCTCTCCTCCTCGTCCCATCAATACAGAAGTCCCCTCCGCCGCTAGATCCATATAAGGCCGGGCACATTATCACTTAGTCCAATTCTGGCTTCATTGTGAGCGAGAGTCAGGGAGAGAGAGTGAGAGAGAGAGGGAGAGAGGGAGAGAGGGAGAGAGAGAGGGAGAGAGAGAGGGAGAGAGGGAGGGAGAGAGAGTGAGAGAGAGAGGGCTGTGCTTTCAGAGCCGGGGAGATCTTTGGCACAGATTAACACACATATCATTTGAATGTAATGAAGTCGCTTTTGTATAACCCCCCGACTGCGGAAAGCTGATGGAGAGAGAGTTCCGTCGCGGTCGGATACTCAGGGGGCAATCGGAAACAGAATGGAGACAAGATTCAAGCTCGTTCAGAGACATGGGTTCAGTGGTGTGTGTTTCAGGGCTACTTTAGGTCATGTACAAAATGACCAAGGAGCAGTCGAGAAGTAACCTTGCCTGCAAGCTGAATTCTCGCGGTATTTGTGAGTTCACAAACACTCGAGAATACATCTTGTACCGCTCCCGCTTACACTTTTCGAGTCGAACCACTGGGTGTGCGAGCCAATCACGCGCCAGTCTGGGGGTTTAGGGCAGGATATCCGGGTTTGACGAAAGCAAGAAGTGCCGGGCCGAAGCAAAACAAACATGGCTACGCAGGAGGACGGACGCGTAGCTGAGGCTATCAAGTCAGTTTTAGCAGTATCTCCAATTTCTTTTTTGAAAGATGAACAGCGAGAGGCGCTTTGTGCATTTTTGGACGGCAAAGATGTTACCGGGATTGGTTTAAGTCAAACCTTGGTAGGCGGGCACACAGCGTCACTTCGCCCAATCAGCTTGAAGTATTCTGCTGCTTATCCCTCCTTTCCCCGAAAGGATTCTCCTGCAGAAGTCCCAGATTGATATCGCGGAGAACGCGTTAGAGTTCTACACAATCATCAATCTGGCTCTTGCCAGGTTAGTCGAGAAGGTGGACGAAAAAGACCAACTGTTTCCAGCAACAAGTCCATTATCGGTGTTTATTTATATAGCACATTTCATACACAAGGCAACTCAAAGTGCAGTAATCACAGAACATTAAAAAGAAAGATAAAAATATAAAATCCCTCAGTTGTAGCACAGCTAAACAGAACTGTCTTTAACCTGGTTTTAAACATTGTCAGAGAGGAGGCCTGTCTCACATCTTCAGGAAGACTGTTCCAGATTTTAGCAGCATGAATCTGAAAAGCAGCCTCCCCATGTTTAGTTCTGACTCTGGGCACTAACAGGAGTCCAGTCCCTGTGCTCCTCAGAGTCCGGGCTGGTTCATATGCCACTAACATGTCACTTGTGTACCTTGGTGCGAGGCCATGGAGAGACAGTTGTCGAGCAGGACTTTACAAAGTTGTTAATTTGCCAACAATAGATCAGAAAATCAAATAGTCTGAACACAGGAGAAGCAGTATTAACAATCACAGAGAAGCATTGGTCCAGAGCAGGATGTATGGTTGTGGTCATACGCCCCCTATGGGTCAGTGTTTCCTATGTGTCTGTTATTATTGTCTGTTAAACTGTTTTCTCTGATCTGTTCCTGGTGAATTGACAACTTTGTAAAGTCCAAATCGACTGCTGTTGTGATTTTGAGCTATACAAGAAAATGAAACTGAATTGAATATGTATTTTTGTTTAAATAAATCACTATTTTGGTTCCTTTTTTGGTTTATTTTCATGTCGACATCTTCAGAGAGGTGATCAGGTTATAGACGGTGCTGCAGTGGTTAGCGTTTGCCTTTCTGTGTGGAGTTTGCATGTTCTCCCTGTGTCCGTGTAGGTTTCCTCCAGGTGCTCCGGTTTCTCCTACCACTAAAAATAAGTACAAGTCTGTCATGCGCCTCACTCCCATCTGTGTGGAGTGAGAGACGAGTGTGAAAGGCGCTATATAATTAAATATTACTTACTTACGAAACCATCAAGAATTGTGTGAGGTTGCTGGATATTGACAGGAACTGGAACACACTGTTGTTTATGGCAATCCAGAGCGTCCTCAACAGAGAATGAGTAAGAGAATAGAGAAAAAAATGGAATTCTGATGTTTTTTTTTTATTGTTAACTTTGTGTGTTGTGCTAAATTTTAATCTATAGCAGGAAATGTATGGCGCAATATAGATAAAATGTGTTGTTATTATTATTAGTGGAAATCGCTCCGTTTTGGTGGAAAGTCCAGAACATATTTCAGATGAATTCTATAATCACGTTCTGATTCAGAGCCGTGTGACATTCGGCAGACGTCAAATCTGCGTCGAGACATTTGGAGACAGCTTCTTTCTCTCCGCCACAAACTTCTGAATCAAAAACCCGACAGATTTATTTCTCTCACACAAACTATTAAAGCAAACCGACAGGCGACAGCGGTGATGGACGCAGTAAACGCCGCCATGACGGGATGTTTTTGAGCTCATTTAAAGCCGCAGTGAACAGACAGTGATGTATAGTGCTCCGTTTGTCTGGATCTCAGAAGTGACGTGCGACATCACAGGAGATAATGAGACGCTTTCATCTCAGATCCTCGTTTGATGAAAAGACTAGAAGCAAAACTCGATGTTGGAACGTTTTTGTTTGTGTAGAGAGAGGAGGCTGAGGTCTTCGTTTTAGTGGAGCAGCGTGCAGGAAACTGGCCTCACCTGCAGCTGAAAGGCAGATCCTGTCAGACCTCAGAGGCTAAGCAGGGCAGGGTCTGGGTAGTACTGTGATGGGAGAACTGTTGTTGTGTCCCAATAAGTGTGGTGTGAATGGTTGATGGTTTTGGGACTGGTGACTGCAGCTCCAGGTCTGTGGGTAAATGCTGATCCTAACCTTCACCCTCTCAGGTCCAACTGACTTTTATTGACAGGGAAAGTCTGATATTTGGGGGAAATTATCATATAGGGTTGTAATATACAATCCTGACTTTTTCTTTTGATAGAGAAACCTTCACAGGCAATGCATTCTGGGATGTTGAAGATTTGCAACGTTAACCCGCTGGCGTATCAACAACTGTGTAGAGTCCTCTGAGACGACTAATGTTGTGATTTAGGGCGATACACAAAAACATTGAATTGTTTTGAACACATGCAATGTCTCTTTACAATCTAGTTATATGTTAGTTATATATTACATTATATATTTTAAACAAATGTTATGATTTAACTTATATTATATAATTACCCCAGTCTTTTTCACAACATTCACTCCCATATTTAATTTAAATTGTAATGTTTGTTTTTAAAGCCCTCCATGGTCTCGCTCCTCCGTTCTTGTCCGAATACTTGACTATTTGTGACTCGGAAAGATCACTGCAGACTAGGACCAGGTCCAAACACTGGGGAGACCGGTCCTTCTCAGTCCTGGACCCAGACTCTGGAATGAGCTGCCCCCTGATGTGCCTGTCCTCACTGACTTTGGCCTTTTTGAATCAAGGCTCAAAACTTATTTATACAGACTTGATTTTGACAGTTTTAACACTCATTAGCTGTTATGGGCTCTATAGATGTGATTAATTTGATTGATGTTCAAATGAAATATATATTATTAGTATTATGATAGTCGGATAGCAGCTGGTCTATATATATATGGTTTCTCTTTCTGGTCCAAATCACCTCTTTACAAGTTCATAAAACGCGTTCAGATTTTCAGCCATGCTTCTCTTTTCAACCCTCAAACATCGGCTTCTGCAGCTGTTATTTCTAACTCGATGCAATTTAACCTTCCCTTTCCAAACGTGTGCCGTCAGACTGAAAGAAAGAACGCAGGATTTGCCTAAAGCCGAAACAATATCAAGTTGTGCGTCCAGAAATAGCGCCCGGCAATTTTGAGAAAGCCTGAATAATGCATCACGCAATAAATGTGATCCTCTGCATTCGGAGCAGTAAGAGGAAGTCTGCAAACAAGGCTGTCCCGCTGTGTTGACGTGAGGTTTATACGTTTGATGTGAACCGGAGTTGACCCGGTTTGGCCCCTGTCTGATCCGCGGCGGTGGAACATGGCGGCGGGTTGTCAGCGGGGGTTTTTATCTGCCTCTACAGCCACCCACATGACACGAGCGGAATGTCAGCGCTGCCAGCCCTTTGACAACACCACCCCACTTCCATTAGCTCTATCTCCCTCTGCAGACGCTCGTGGAGGCATCAGATGGTTCCACGCCAGCGAAAAACCCGGAACAGACTCCAGATCTGGGAGCGAGAGAGCAACAAGTGTCTGCGGAGTCACAGACGTGGGCTTTCAGGCACTAAACGTTCAGGCACTAAAGTATGCAAACATATAAACAAACAGGCTCAGGAAGGCTGTGAGAACCAATGTGAGTGGCCATACCTGCATGTGGAAGCCAGATCCTACCTGACTTCTGAAGCTAAGCAGGGCAGAGGATGGGTAGTACTGTGATGGGAGACCTCCGGGAACAACAGGTGCCACAGTGGGGCGGCTGCGGCTAAGAAAAAGACTGTTGATGTGTCCTTTGGCAAGACACTTCCCCCACATTAGAATGAGTCTGGTGTGTGTGTGAATGGTTGGTGGTGGTGGGAGGGGCTGATGGCACAGACTGGTTGCCTCACTTCTGTCAGTGTGCCCCAGGGCAGCTGTGGCTACAGTAGTAGTTTCCCACCGCCGTCATAGAGTGCCTTGAAAAGCGCTGTATGAAACCAATGCATTATTATTATTATTATCAGTATCATAACTTTGTGAGATCTCTGACTTTCCTACTGTTTTAGGCAGATAAATAATTTGGAAGTATGTTTTTGTAAAGCCTTGAATCACAACATCAGTCGTCTTGGAGGACCTTGCAAAGTTATCCATTCCTCAAGGACAGATCAGGGAATCAAACAGTTGGAGCACCGCAAATTCAACAGTAACAAACAGATCAAAGAATTAATGTTGATTAATATTCTTTTGTTTCAGGATCATCGCTGTCCTTGAACCACTCCAATAACATCAAAGCAAACTAACCAAATGATAACTGTTGCACGTTCACCATGTGTTGCTCTGTGTTGCTATGGTAAACCAAGTGGACTCAACTCAGAACCAGGACCAGAACCAACTCTTTGGAGTAAGTAGTAAGCAGTCGTGACTACTAGATGTGGTAAATAATGGTTATAGTATCTCTCCTTCCAAAACTAAAAGCCGTCATATTGACTTATCTGGGAGTTCTCGGGTGAAAATGTGTATCTATACAGTTTCTCAATCCATTTTCTTCCGCTTTTTCCGTTTCCAGGTCACGAGGGCAGCAGTCTAAGCAGAGACGCCCACACTTCACTCTCCACATTTGTGTCCAATTAGCCAAAAGAATGAACAATACTTGGTTGCTGAGTGCCCAATGTTATAAATACACAGGAGAATCATAGAAGCACTTTCTGCAGACATTGCTTGGCGTCTTTCTCTTCTCCGTTCACTCTTCCATGTGCAGCTGTAAATCTCCTTCCTCTCTGGCTCTCACAGACTCTGCTGGGTCACTCTCCTCTGGGTGAGGCGGCTCCCTGGGGTGCTGCTGCTGTGAGCATGGATCCCCTGATCAGAGTCAAAGAAGAAGCACGGAGCCGATCCAAACCACGGCGTCCGGGCTGCATCACAATGAGCCCCGTCTCTGCTGACTCCACACTGTCATCCGCACATCACAGTCTCGGCTTTCACTGCTTTCTCTGCGTCCAAATGTTTCATGCTGAAGATGAAGGTGGCTTTTCTTAACTGCATTAGAGCGCAGGGACTGGAACAATGGAGAGAGGAAGTAGATGATGTAAAACACAGGTACAGTGAGAAAGTAAGATACAGCTTCAACTTCTGCTTAAAGCTGGACTCACTTTGAGATCTCGAAGCAGTGTTTCAAAAGCAATCGCTGGGCTTGCTCTTTCTGCTCCGCTCCACGCACTCACGAAGCCATCGCCCCCCACTTCCCCCCTCTACCCCCATTACCCCCCTCCCTCTCAGCCTGTGCTGTTGTTTACCGAGCTGGCTTCTCACAATATGGACACATTTTGAACGTGCCGTGACCATAGAATGATTGAACCAGGAAGTGCGGAGGACGAGACTTTCTTTTGTCTGTTTCTCTGAGTAAGCAGTAACCGGTAACGAAGACACGGGAAGTTTCAGGTTAGCCTCCGCCATGATGCTCTTTACCTCAGCTGTCTGTGCTAACCACAGACCTGTCTGTGCTAACCACAGACCTGTAGCTTTTCTCAAGAAAGTGGGGGCCAGTGGTCCGCTGTGATTGGTCACAGCCTGGTCCGGAAACAAATTCTCTTCCACGTTGGACGAAAACTCGATCTAAAATAAAATGACACGCCAGAACAAACCTGCGCTACTTATTCTTCGAAAGGACGTACATCCCAAAGCACTGGATATGGATTGAAATTTCCAAATTAAATTAAAGTCAGGTACTCCAGCTTTAATGAGAATGAGAATGAGACAAAATGGAAAGTACCTGAGGATTACAATGGATGTTTTAGGTCAAGTCTGACAGATAGATAGAAGATAGATAGATAGGTCCTGGGTGGAGCAGGACGGGTCACAGCAGCAGAGGTGGAGTAGCCTCTGGGTGGAGCAGGACGGGTCACAGCAGCAGAGGTGGAGTAGCCTCTGGGTGGAGCAGGACGGGTCACAGCAGCAGAGGTGGAGTAGCCTCTGGGTGGAGCAGGACGGGTCACAGCAGCAGAGGTGGAGTAGCCTCTGGGTGGAGCAGGACGGGTCACAGCAGCAGAGGTGGAGTAGCCTCTGGGTGGAGCAGGACGGGTCACAGCAGCAGAGGTGTAGTAGCCTCTGGGTGGAGCAGGACGGGTCACAGCAGCAGAGGTGGAGTAGCCTCTGGGTGGAGCAGGACGGGTCACAGCAGCAGAGGTGGAGTAGCCTCTGGGTGGAGCAGGTGGAGTAGTCTCTGGGTGGAGCAGGACAGGTCACAGCAGCAGAGGTGGAGTAGTCTCTGGGTGGAGCAGGACGGGTCACAGCAGCAGAGGTGGAGTAGTCTCTGGGTGGAGCAGGACGGGTCACAGCAGCAGAGGTGGAGTAGCCTCTGGGTGGAGCAGGACGGGTCACAGCAGCAGAGGTGGAGTAGCCTCTGGGTGGAGCAGGACGGGTCACAGCAGCAGAGGTGGAGTAGCCTCTGGGTGGAGCAGGACGGGTCACAGCAGCAGAGGTGGAGTAGCCTCTGGGTGGAGCAGGACGGGTCACAGCAGCAGAGGTGGAGTAGCCTCTGGGTGGAGCAGGACGGGTCACAGCAGCAGAGGTGTAGTAGCCTCTGGGTGGAGCAGGACGGGTCACAGCAGCAGAGGTGGAGTAGCCTCTGGGTGGAGCAGGACGGGTCACAGCAGCAGAGGTGGAGTAGCCTCTGGGTGGAGCAGGTGGAGTAGTCTCTGGGTGGAGCAGGACAGGTCACAGCAGCAGAGGTGGAGTAGTCTCTGGGTGGAGCAGGACGGGTCACAGCAGCAGAGGTGGAGTAGTCTCTGGGTGGAGCAGGACGGGTCACAGCAGCAGAGGTGGAGTAGCCTCTGGGTGGAGCAGGACGGGTCACAGCAGCAGAGGTGGAGTAGCCTCTGGGTGGAGCAGGACGGGTCACAGCAGCAGAGGTGGAGTAGCCTCTGGGTGGAGCAGGACGGGTCACAGCAGCAGAGGTGTAGTAGTCTCTGGGTAGAGCAGGACGGGTCACAGCAGCAGAGGTGGAGTAGCCTCTGGGTGGAGCAGGACGGGTCACAGCAGCAGAGGTGGAGTAGCCTCTGGGTGGAGCAGGACGGGTCACAGCAGCAGAGGTGGAGTAGTCTCTGGGTGGAGCAGGACGGGTCACAGCAGCAGAGGTGGAGTAGCCTCTGGGTGGAGCAGGACGGGTCACAGCAGCAGAGGTGGAGTAGCCTCTGGGTGGAGCAGGACGGGTCACAGCAGCAGAGGTGGAGTAGCCTCTGGGTGGGGAAGGGTCAAAAGGTGATCAAATCCTCATTTCACTGCATGTCACGTCTGGGTCTGGTCCCTGTGTTTGCGATTACAGTCGGTTGAATTCCATCCGACCAATCAGAGAGCGCGGGAGGCGGGTGTTGTAGTTAGATGTGGGTGACGTCAAGAGTTTGCGTCGAACGGGAAGGTTGTAGTTTGGTGAAGAATGCGATAGTAAAGTATTCTGCTCTGGTTCTATCAAGAAACTGAAGCCGGAGCAAGAGGAATGTTTAGCAAATGCTGGCAAAGATTGTGGCGCTGCTCCCCACAGGCTCCGTTAGCGGCAAAGGAGATGGCTAAAGCTAGGCTAAATGCTAATTGCTAACGACTCACTCGGGCTCATTACATACGTCACTGTAAACTCAGATCCAATCGTTTTAATCTGCAAAAGAAGTTAACCCCTCCCACCTGTTCACGGAGTCAATGAAGCAAATCTAGACCTTAGTATGAAATGAAAGTTGTACAATGGTGTGGTACGACCAGGCTAGAATGAGTCTGGTGTGTGTGTGAGTGGTTGTTGGTGGTGGGAGGGGCTGATGGCACAGACTGGTTGTCTCGCTTCTGTCAGTGCGCCCCAGGGCAGCTGTGGCTACAGTAGTATAGTCTATGGAGTGAATGAATGATGACATGTGAGGCCTCTTTGTGTCCAAAACCTCTGTATAAAACCAATGCATTATTATTAAACATCCCACGGGTCGGGCTCAGGGAGAAAAAAGAATTAGCAACACAAAAGCTCAATGGGCTTAAATTTGTGACCCATACACTGTACACTATAATTATAATGTATATATTAAACTGCCTTCCAGCTCTTAGACACACATTTCGCCCTGGGGAAGACAAACGTCAAAACGCATCTTTTTGGATTGTTGAGTTTGTTTTTATCCTGGACATAATTATCTTTTTGGCATTCCTGCTTTTGTGTCCTCCTTCATTTCACCACATGACACAAAACATGTGGTAATTAAAACACTAGCTTCTTTAAACTCTTTCTTATCAAAATAACGTCAGCCTGTGAGAGTGTAGGCCACGAAGTCACTCCCATCATCCCTGTTTGCCTTTATTATCATGCTGTAGATGTTTTTGGGTGTTTTAATGGACTTGGACTCTCTCTCTCTGTCTCTGTCTCTGTCTCTGTCTCTGTCTCTCTCTCTCTCTCTCTCTCTCTCTCTCTCTCTCTCTCTCTCTCTCTCTCTCTCTCTCTCTCTCTCTCTCTCTCTCTCTCTCTCTCTCTCTCTCTCTCTCTCTCTCTCTCTCTCTCTCTCTCTCTCTCTCTCTCTCTCTCTCTCTCTCTCTCTCTCTCTCTCTCTCTGTGAGTGATCATGGGCCTCTTGGCTGCATCTCTGATCAGTCTTCTCCTTGTTTGAGATTAAAGTTTGGAAGGACGGCCAGGTCTTGGTAGACACCTGCCTGGTGTGTTCCTTTGTCTTCATGGTTCTCTCTGTGCTTTAAACAGAACCCTGTGCTTGCACAACTGATAACAACTGAAGAAGCTGAGTCTCTCTCTCTGGTCTCTCTCTGTCACTCTTGGCTCTCCTGGTCTCTAAAGCCTAGTGTATACTTGCGCGGCGTGGCTTACGTGTAGCGTCTGCGGTGGACCTACGAAGCACAATTGAAGTTCTACTGGCGCGTTCCCCTTTACGGAGTTTTTGAGGCGAATAGTTGTAATCCCCACAACAAACACACATGAGGCGATTTTTCCCCACACAGGACGGTCCATTTACGCTGCTACTTTGACCTCTTCAGAACAACAATGCAGCAAACAAAGCTGTATTGAGCTCATAACACGTGTTTCTACTGTAGGTTTTATAGTGATAGTTTAATGGATTCAATTATTTTATAAGTCATATTCAACTGTGATGCTGTGAATAAAGACACATTCTTGTTGAAACATAGTTATTTATTAAATAGTTTTCAGCACAAACAGCAAAACAATAAAAAGTGGTAAATATCTGGGCAACAGAACGAATTTACGAGTGCAGAGGAAAGCAACAAACGCACTACGATTCAAACAAGACAGGACCAGTGCAAACAAACGACTGCACAGTTTTATAAGCATATAATGTTTAGATATCCACAGTTTCCTTTATATCAGGCCCCCCCCCTTTGAGCCCAAACTGCTTTTCCTTCAAACACAAAGGCTCTCTGCTCCATAGTGCCTCGTCCATGTCCCCTGCTGCACCGCTCCCGGCTTTTCCATCCAATACAACACCACACGGACCCAATCAATCCAATCCAATCCAATCCACATTATTTATATAGCACATTTAAACACAAAACGTTTCCAAAGAGCTGAACAACAATACACAATAAAACAAAAACCATAACAAATGGAGATTCCACCAATACATAGAAATCAGCGGAGCTTCCATTACGGCCGACCCCTTACGTTAGTTAGAAAATTTCGAGGGCCTTGCGGTGACCAACGCGTTGCCAACGTGACGTCACTTCACCTCCGTTAAGCCCGCGCCGCGCGAGTATAAACTAGCCTTAAGTGTTTTTATTTTTTTTCTCCCGAAAGGCTCTCTAACAAAAACACACTCCTTTCAAAGTGAAAACACATGCCCTGAACATTATATTCAATTTCTTATGGCTCTATGTGTGGGCCCAGTTCTAATACTAATAAAAAAATCCCCTGGGGGTAAAGATAATTCATTTGGGAGCCGGACCTGGCCCCCGGGCTTGACTTTTGACACAAAATGCCATTGAGCGAGAGACCATGTCTCTACGGTCTCTCTCTGATCTCTTGATTCAGACTTTAAAACTGCTTGTGG